GAAGAATGTTCCGGAGACCCTTATCGCTTAAAAGCCTGCCTGAAAAGAAAGGTCTTTGGCTGCTGACAGAAGAAAAAGAGGGAGGGAAGGCCATGGACCAAACAGTCCTTCAAACAGAGGATACCTTTGAACAGAAGACTGCCCTATATAAAGGAGGTCATGTGACTACTGTGCTCTTTTTTACATTAATTATGTTACCAGAGAAAATCGCAAGGATAGTAATCTCAATATGACACAGCAGTGAGGATGACAGGGACAAAAGTGAAATAACAATTTCCTTCATTTTTAAACGAAAGCTTTCGCATTCCTCTGATAAGTATGGATAATTGTAATACTCTAAAGTTACTTGGCGTAGAAATAAAAGGTCTCGAATAGGCAGGATCTGCTAGCTAGGAGCACATTGAGTGAAAGAAAGCTAGTGTCTGCTTTTTCAAAAACATAACCTGTTTATGAATCCATGGGAAATCTGTGCTACCACTGTTTTGGAAATGTTTTCTTCCAGGAAAATTGGCACTGAATGAATAACTTTGAAATCCAGTCAAGTGTTTGACCTGTATTTGATGCAACTAAATGTTAATGACCTTACAAACAGAAAAATGAAAGACTGCATCACCTTGAAAACTAAGGAGGCAGTTGTACACACACATTCTGGGAAGTAAATCCCATTGAACCTAATGGGCCTTACTTTTCAGTACTGTCTAGGGTGCACTGCTAATTTCCATATTGTGATTTATAATGTGCATTTTATTCTGTACTGTATAGTGGCACTCAAAGGATTTCACAACAGAATAAAAATATGCTTTTAAAACGGTGGCATTAAAAGCATTATGTTGGAATACTACACAAACAGCAGCAAAAATAATACTACAGAAGAGACTTCTGTGGGCCTCAGTGAGATAGTGGTATGAACTAAACACCGGGAAGCAAATAAGAGCAGGTGGTTGAACAAGAACTCTTCTGAAGGTTTAATTGTGTGAAGCCAAGGCTCAGCAGGCACCGTGGAGTCATCTTATTACAGATCCTGACCAGAGTCACTCCAACATTAAAAAGAGTGATGTCATCTCAGGGGGCAGGTGCTGGGGTGGAGTGTCACCCCCTCCTTTTTCCCAGTGATTTCTGAGCTACCTTGTTCATCAGCCCTCTAAGTAGGGATGCGGGAATACCCACTAAATGTTCCAGTCTTGTCAATTTAGGCTTGTCTCTACTTGACAGAACGTCTCACTGTGGAATTTTCAAGCTTTGGACGATTCCTCGGCTCCATAAAAAAGTGAAACAAAGTGTTTGTTTTAATTTTCAAGGTCTCCATAAAACCAGGTTCCTTGTCTTTGAGACGCAAAGCACTGAGAGTCAAAGCAAGCAAAGAAAAACTGGTTGATTGTGTAAAAAGACATAAACAATCCCAGTGCTTCTGATCTTTAGAAATAATAGAATCATAGCATTACAGAGCTGGAAAGGACTCCAAAGGTCCTCAAGTCCAACCCCTTGCCAAAGTAGGAAATGCACAACTAAATTATCCTTGACAAGAAGCCATTTACCATATTTTTCCATGTATAAGACTATACTTTGGTCTAAAATATTTAGACTAAAAATTAAGGGTCATCTTATACATGGAAGTAAACTGAGGAGAAAAAAACAAGTGGAGGGGAAAGCAGGGATCAAAGTGATCCTGCAGGGCTTTGATCCCTGCTTTCCCCTCCACTTTCTAAGTCTTAGCAAAAGGAAAGCAGGGATCAACGTGCTGCAGGATTGCTTTGATCCCTGCTTTCCCCTCTGCTTGCTAGGTCCCATGCGGCTTAGCAAAAGGTGGGGAGAAGAATCAAAGCAATCTCGTGGCTCTATAAGGGGGAAAGGAATCAAAATGATTGTGCAGTTGTGGAATTGGTTTGATCCCTTTCCCCCTCCTTTTGCTAAGCCATGCAGGGCTTAGCACAAAGCAGGGATCAAAGCCATCTTGCAGCATTTTGATCCTTTTTACCCTACATTTGCTAAGCCCCACTTAGATTTCTTAATTTTGGCTTAGAAAAGTGTGTGTGTGTGTGTGTGTGTGTCTTATACATGGGGGCATCTTATACATGGAAAAATACGTTTAAAAACCGACAACGGAGAGCTCACCGAAGCATCTAACAAAGCAGCAAGTCCATAAAACAGAGCAGTAAACATTGTCATTTTGAATAAGTTGTGTTATTTCAATTAAAGCTTTAGATTAAAGGAAATTTTCTTGCTTTGTACAAAATCCCGTTCCCCTTCTTATTTTATTGTTGGAAGTGTAACAAAACATCATATACTTTTGTGGGCCTGGAGAATAATTTTGAAGTTCTTTAGCTTCATGCATAAGTACTAGTATGAGATGAGAAAATATTTACAACCCTACTGCAAATGTAATCCATTCTCCACAGGTGTGGTAAAAATGGTGCCCTTCCCCATTCTGAAATAAGATCAAATTGCACAATGTGTGTAGAATGGTGTTAGAAGTTGACAGCATGTTGATGTCATACCCACACAATTTCATACTTGAACAATTAGATTTGCAAATGCAATCCATGCATATTTATCAGTAACCAGTCACAAAGCAAGCTAATTTACAAGGTACAGGACAGGGGGTGAAAAAATTTCACACTATAACATTCAGACATATTTCAGCCCTGTCTAGTTTAACCGTAAGTTTCATTTTACCAACCTTGTCAGATTCTATATGTAGAACAGAGCATATATTTCAGGCAGCGAATGTCTTGAGCAAGCTCTGAAACTGATGGTGGAAATAGGTGTCATTTTGGGATAACAAACCCTTTGTTCACCTTTGGCAAATGCACAAGGCGAATGTATGGAGAAGTACTGGATTCATGCATTCAGACCTTTTCAAAATCTCTGCAGAGCCATTGGCTCTGCTCCCCCAACTTCTACATGTAAACCAGAGCTCAGAAAAGTTACTTTCATTGGCTACAATGCAGATTCCTCCAACTGGAAGTTGTAGTCCAAAAAAAGAAGAGAAAAACCTCTCCAAGATCTGTTGTAAATAATTTTATATATAGAATGTCTGTGTAGTGCTATTCAGATGTTAGCCTCATGTTCATACTCCACACCTGAGGAGGGAGGATATGCCAATCCTCTTCTCTCCATTTCCTCACACAAAAGTGAAATGTCTGATGAGGTGAACCTTTTCATGGGCGCCCTCCACAAGAGCCAGAATGTCGATTACCCTGTGTTCTTGCTTGCACGGAGGGCCTAAGGTAAAGGTAAAGGTTCCCCTTGACAATTTTTGTCCAGTCGTGGTCGACTCTAGGGGGCGGTGCTCATCCCCGTTTCCAAGCCATAGAGCCAGCGTTTTTTGTCCGAAGACAATCTTCCATGGTCACATGGCCAGTGCGACTTAGACGCGGAACACTGTTACCTTCCCACTGAGGTGGTCCCTATTTATTTACTTGCATTTGCGTGCTTTCGAACCGCTAGGTTGGCGGGAGCTGGGACAAGCGACGGGCGCCCACTCCGTCATATGGATTCGATCTTATGACTGCTTGGTCTTCTGACCCTGCAGCATAGGCTTCTACAGTTTAGCCCACAGCGCCACCACGTCCCTTCACGGAGGTCCTACATGCAACAAAAGGCTCTCCCTTTTCAATCTGTGTGATAAATCCTTGTTTGTATCTTAATCATATGCAAGCACAGAGTATTTCAGCATTCTTTCTCTATTGAGAAAGGATGTGAAGCATTTCTTAGTGCTTCTGACAGTGTTCCCGCAATGATGAGAAGTTGTGCTCAAGAGTTGCCCATTTCTGTACCAAATTATCTGTTTTCGGAGGCAAAATTGCTTAGTTTATACACTTGCACAAATTGGATGAATATCTCAAAATTAGGGAGGCTGCTCCATTACTTAAGCATGTGAAGCACTATGTAGGCTGTGAAGTTCTCAGACAGCCTTTCTGTGTTTGCCCTATGTATTCTTTGCTTCTTTAAGGGAAAATATATTAGAAACTTTTCACACAACTTACATAGACTTTGATGGGGGAGAAAGAGTTGCTAGTCTTGTTTTTTGGCTGGAAGTGAGAAAAGTTTGTGGAGCTTCAAGATTACTCATTAAAAGATTTTATCCTGTTGAGCCTAAGTTGACAAGAACAGGCAATTTAGCCAGTATCTTTAGCCTAGAATCTTTTTTTTTACATAATTTATTTTTAACATAGGGTAACAGGAAAGAAAAAGGGATTGAGGTTAATGGGAAGAGGAGAAACAATGACATACTAACATCCATTCTATACATATTGCCATATCAGAATTCCAAATTGCTCTTTTTACTATTTTCTGCCTTCCAGATTTAAGTTCTCATTTTAATGCATGTTCTTCAAACGCTGTCTGATGACTCAAACCATTTGTAGAATATGTCCCATTGAATCTTATTAGCCATGGCAGGTTACACAGACCTTATAGAATCTTATTGGTGTTTCCATAAGGTCTGCGTAAACTGCCATGGCTAATCACATCTAATTGATGAGGTACCAGGGCACTCCTTGCAGTCTAAACCTGACTAGGGCTTTAGTGTGATGGGGACAATTACACAATCAGAGTTCCCATCCCAAATTGCACAAACATGTGTCTCGTTTTACGAGTTGTAGATTCTATTAGCTTTTTCTGTGAAACACTTAAAATGTGGGGAGAGATTAAGAGGTGCAATTCCACCTTTCTTCCGCAAGTTCACTCTGTGTAGTGATTGACAGTGCAAATTGGGCTGAAGAGTCCAGCAGTGTTTTCCTTTTTAAAATGCAGAGAACTGTCTTTCTGTGATTGCTGTGGTTTGATCTATGGCAGCATGAAAGCACACGTTCACCAAATGAAGTCAGCTAATGCTGTGGAGACCCCGTCTGTTCTGTATAAACAGCCAGAGGCTGACAAGGATCTGAATTTGTATCTGAATTTGATATACTCAAGTGAGATGGTCTCCTTTGGGAGAAATGCTACTGGCCACATGTACTGAACTTTCCTAGATAATTTAGTCTTCTTTCTTTCTGCAGCATCACTAACAGTCAGAATCAGAAAGAGAAGAATTATTCTCCACTTTGGTTCCCAGCACTGAATAAAATTCTCCAACCGCTGAGATGCCGGTCGCCTCTACCAACTCCGAGACAGGTAAGGACCTGGTTCTATCTCTTTCCTGACTTGCAACCTTCCAGAAATCTGCAGCTACAGGTCCCATCATCCCCAGCCTACTTAACTATTGGGAAATCGGGATCAAATCCAAAACATCTGGGGGGATTAGGGGAAACCAATGCTCATAATTACAACCCTGCTGGAAATGTAACCCTAATCCATTGTATACACCTATAGGGATATGTGTGTACATAATAGGTTATGCCTTATAATCAAAATAAACTTGCTTTACCCCAAGTGCTAGAAACAGGCTGTTTCTAAAAGTTTCAGCCATTTTGGTTGTTTATTTGATTTTATACATTTATAATTGTCTCTGAACACAACAAGCTACAGCTTGATCTAAGCAAGCAAACCTGCATACATAGCCACACGTATTCATGCGTCTTTGGAAATTGACCCATATTTTCACTGAGCTTTGAAATGTTGCTTTTTTTGGACTCCAGCTCTCATAATCTTCCAGCCAGTTTATTCATAGATCATGCTAGCTAGTGATTCAGAGACTTTGAAAAAAGAGAGAGAATGTTTCAAAGCTGTGCATGTTGTAAAATATGTCCAGATTGTTTTGTTGTTGCAATTTTCTAACTTGAGGAACCCACAGGATAGCCTGGGAATTATGTGTTTATCCATTGCATTAAGCTGTGGAGAAATGACCTCTTTTACACTGTGTTCTGGTGAAGTATGGGCTGATGGAAGCCAATGACTTCCCTTTGTGGTAAACTGATGATCGGTAATGGTAGAAGGGCTTTCCTCCAAGATGGCCGACATATCACAGCTGTGACTCCCTTTTTCAAGGTCTCGAAAAATCTCAAAATGTCACTAGCAGGATTTTCAGTATGAATGTGTGAAGCACCAGATCTCATGTGAAAATAACTGTTTTGTGTTGTCCCTGGGGAAGTCATGGGGGAGACTGTAGTGTATTGAACAGTAGCCTTGGAGACAAGTGTTTGAAAGAATTGCTTTCTGGGATTGATGGCTGTAATGGGCAGCCATGACCTCACCTGTCCGTCACAGCTGGGCAGTAAATCATCAGCCAATGGTGTGACGGAGGGTGGAACTGAAGGGGAGGAGCTGGTATAAAAGGGGGGGGTGAAGAGTGTGTGAGGGGAGATTGATTGAGTGAGATCTGGAGAGATCTGGTGTGAGAGAGAAAGAGGCCTGCATGCCTGAGTGTCAATAAGGGAATGTCTATGAGGTTAATTTAAAATAAGAAAGTGATTTACAAAGTGATTATCTTTCTGTGATTCTCATATTTTATTTTTGTAATCAATAAACCAAGTTTTTATTTTTGAAAGAAACCCTTGTCCTTTTTATCTAAAGGAAAGGTTGGTGGCAGCAAGAGTGTTTAGTGGCGTGGTGGGCATTCTGAGAGGCCTGAGTAGGAGGTGACCTCAGAGTGGCTCAGCCACGTTGTAGTGGCCATGCTGGCTGGAGGGTTCTGAGAGTTTTAGTCCAGCTAGAATATACCACACATATACATCTCAGGAGTTTGGAGGCAAATGTTTAGAGATTTCTTAGGAGACAAACCAGTGAGGGAAATCTTGAACTGGGTGTGGTGGTGTCAATATGCTCTCCCATGATATAATGTAATCCAGGCATGTTTGGCTTTTGTATCAATTTATTTTGTATTTTGTATTCATTTATTTTAGATTGGGCTGCTTGTTGCTATAGTAAAATAGTGAGAGAAATACTGTATAGGGAATGTTGTTAAAAGGGGTGGAAGTAACAAGAAATGCAACGTGTTCTCTTTTTTAAACACTGTATGCACAACAACTAGTGTAGTTTTTAAGCCACAAGGACAAATTGTTTTCAAAAGGTAGTTTCCCAATCTCTGTTCTTAAGTGTTTCTTATGAGTGTATGAATGAGTATGTGGAAGAAATAAGGGAGGACTGCCTCCCTTTTTTTTCTTTTTTTTTTTTTTTAAAGGTAGCAGAAAATCCTAAGAACTGCTCTCGCGAAATTTTACTGATTGCTAATCAGAGATTTCCACAGGTCTTTAAAAGGATTCCACTCCAAGTGTGATTTAAAGAATCTTAAGAAAGGAGATCAGGACACTTGAAATTGATTATTTGTTGTTAGTGTCCAGAGAGCAAACTCAGCAGGAATATAGATTATCTGTTCACAGTTTCCCCACTTCAATGAAGGAATGAATGACTCAGTCAGCTAATTAATTTGTTTTATTCATAGGCCACCTTCTTCTTGATAAGGGGACCCAAGGCAGCTCATAATGTTAAAAGAATAGAATTTAAAACACAGTAAAACATTAAAAAACAATTAAACGGTACACTAATTAAAAGCAAGTAAACATTAAAAAATTGTTAATGTGATGTGTTGTCCTTCTGTTTATATTATAACAATAATCTCTGATTTTGCAGATATGGCTATAAATTAGTGTATGTAATTCTATGCAAAGCAGCCCTACCTTTTTGGATAATGTGCAAGTAGTCCCTTTGTGACTGAGTTGGAATATAATATAGTTATACACTGGTTACTTGACATGTAATTATAATTAACTGGTTACATGTAACAGATTATTTGAAACTGGTTACTTCTAGGCACTACCACATTCAGCTTCCCTGCAAGATTAAGAAAATCCCGCTTTATTTGGCACTGGTGAGGCCTCATCTTGAGTTCTGTGCCCAGTTCTGGACACCGCACTTCAAGAAGGATGCTGAAAAACTGGAACAAGTTCAGAGGAGGGTAACAAGGATGATCAGGGTGCTGAAACCAAGTCCTATGATTAAAGAACGAAAGAATTGAGGATGTTTAGACTTGAGAAAAGAAGACTGAAGGGAGATATGATAGCACTTTTCAAATACAGTGGTGCCTCGCATTACGACGTTAATGCGTTCCAGCGAAATTGCTGTAGAACAAAAACGTCGTAATGCGAAATTAAAAAGCCCACTGAAACGCATTAAAACCCGATCAATGCATTCCTAGGGGCTTGAAACTCACCGTCCAGCGAAGATCCTCCATAGTGCAGCCATTTTTGCTGCTTGTGCGGTGAGGAATCCATCCCAGAAAAGAGTGGGGAGCCATGTTTTTTACCCAGCGGCCATTTTGAAACCGCCAATCAGCTGGCCGAAAATCATAGCTTTGCGAGAATCGCAAGAATTCTGCTTCCAAGCTTCTGGGCTCATTTGTCAATTTTTTACCTGCTCCTTGTCTTATTCTTTAAGCCATTGACTGCTCAATTAAACCTCCCACTATCTACCTGCTACATAGCAAACACAGGCTGTTATCCTGGCAGCATTGCTTAAGCCAGTTAATGGCATACTTGGGATGAAAGTATGTGATCATGCCCCTGAGCAGGCAGCCTCAAAATCAACACGTGAAGTTTATATGCTGGGCTCTCTAGTTTTATTGCAGACCTGGATTCATTTATTTATTTTTTTAATGATTCTCAGAATTCCCAAGACAGCATAGTGGATTCTGGAAGGATCCAAACAAGGAATTTCCACGATCTATTCCAATGTGAATGTGGTTCTCTTATTCTTGTCTGCTAGAGTGGACATTCCATGTTCTCTCTTCCTTATCTCCACTTGCTTTGCTCGAAAGCGGTTGGTGCGAGTGCTACCATTATTCTCCAGTGTTTAGCTTCTTCTATGGGAAGTTAAATCTCTGAGTGGATGGGTGTCTCTAACAGGCTATATTGAAGTCTTTGAAACTTTAAAAAAATATTATTATTATTTCACCTCCAAAATATAAGCAGAAACACTCTGTCATTATGTGCATACTTCAGAACTGTTTATCAGATTGCCTCTCTACATTTAGTCGCTACTTTTATTCAGGAAAACCTATCCTGTTTGAATTTTGGAGAATAAAGAAACAGGCATAAAGATTTTTCAATGAACATCAATAGATGGCCAAGGACACTAAGGCATTACATAGATTCGTGATGCTACCAGGTTTTGGAGGTCCCTGGGCAGGATGTACCAGGTACACCAATGCACTTCCACTTTGTCTTCCCACCACTCCTCAGTCTTGTCATTCCCTGCTTGAACTCCAGCATCCATCCAAATTAGCAGACATTAAGAAGAGGAAAAGGACAGGTGTTTCCCCCCCCCTTCCCCTTATTTGAAGAACGAAAGAAGAGGCCAGTATCTCTCCCTGCTGTCTGGGCTCCTACTGAGAGTTTGTAAGTAACTAGTTGGGTGTAATTAACTCCTCCCACCCCCGCCCAACAGCAGAATTAGGTCATTCCTCTGTTTGACAACATCCTTCTTCTCAAGGGCTGATCAGCTCAAGTTTGCATTAAGATTAAAGGGAAAAAAACGTAAGAAGGGAGAGCAGGTGGAGGCCTTGGTGTTGTCAGTCAACAACGAGCACAGCACAGGAGATTCAGCAGGCAGGCATAAGGGCTGTGTGGTCATGGTCTTCCCACTATAATGAGATATCCCAAATTTCTATTTAAATCAGAGTTGCTATTTCCCAATGCACATCTCTACATATAAATTAGCATGTGCTTATTAAAATACAGATCTCTGTCCTATGTTGTCTTCCACTGAGTGTCACATGTTTTCTTCTTTGGTAATGCACAAATGGATACTTTATCTGGAAGCATGTAAGTCTAGCCTTTCAGCTCTAAAGCAAGAAGCAACACTGGCATGGGAGGGAGACCTAAATGTTGACCAGGTCTCTGTCAGGATGTTAAAACTGGAAGACAAGCTAAGGAAGTAATTTCCTTCAAGGTTTTCTTCCCAAGCGAACAAAACTTACAAATGAAATTTATTTTTATCTCCTGATAACTATTCACAAAGCAAAAGCAAGCTAGTTTGCAACAGAGGCGAAGAAAGCTCATTCTAGAATAAATGATGTGTTTTATCTCTTAAAGGAGCTGCCTTTCTAAGAACTGAAATGTCTTGTTTGACTTGGGAGCTGGAATCCCTGGGAATATACAAAAGCCTTGACCACAGAAAAATCCCCTATTTTCCTTGCTTTTCTTCCTTCCTTTTCCTTTCTTTTATCCTTTTCTTGTTTC